CAAAATAAAATACCCATGAATCCACATTGATATAAGTAATGTGAAGGGACACATTTTCAATATAGAAGAATTCCAGTTAATAAATAGAGAAGCAAAGGGGGAAATAGAAATTTTCCATTAAAATATCAGTAATAATTATTATAGACAAGATTCACTGGTCAATCCTAAAATTAGTGGGCAAAACTTTAAGAAGAAAGAGGATATTTGCATAGCCTCCAAAATACACTGATTACTATAATGGTTTTAACACACATGGCCACAAATTCTTTGATATTCTCCTTTTTAGGAGGTGGAATTTAATTCTCCTCCCTTTGAATGTGGGTGAGACTTAGTGACTCACTTCTAAGGAGCAGAGTATATAAAGAGAAAACTGGTAGCTCTATAGTAGAGACCCCCAGATAGCACGTTAGCCAAGTGATCAAAGTTTGCATCATCAGTAATAAGTCAGGCTGATATGTGCTCCCTGATGTGATGTTATGAGATGGGCACACTATACTTCTGTGGTATTCTTTCCCCAAACCTATTACACCTCAATCCAATCATAAGAAAACATTGGACAAACCCAAATTAAGGGATATTCTAAAAGAAACCATACCACTACTCTTCAAAAGTGACAGGGCTATGAAAGACAAGTAAAGCGAAACTTTCACAGATTGGAGGAGATGAAGGAGCCATGACAACTAAATGCAATATGGTACCTGAATTGAACTACGTAAGTAGAAAAACTAGGAAAATCTCAGTAAAATGTATAATTCAGTTAATGGTATTATATCAATGTATTTCTTAGTTTTGATAAAAGTACCCTGGTTATATAATATACTAAAATTAGAGGAAGGTGGATGAAAGGTATCTGGAACTTTTTAGTACTATTTTTATAACTTTTTTAAATCTAAAATTATTTCAAAGTTAAAAATCATACATTAAAAATATATATTTATCTTTCTTTGTACTGGGGACAAGTTGACTCTAGAATGTTAACATTTTGGATGGTGTGCTTATAGGTGATTAAATTTTTAGCTTATGTTTTCTAATTTACTTATTTATAATGAATGTATTTCACTTGTAAGGATAAATTTTAAAAAATGATTATAATATACGTACTTTCTGGTAATTTGCTTTTGTCCACCAAGAACATCTTTCTACCTATCTTCATTCTTAATGACTAGCTGTAAAGAGTTGAATGGACGTACCTTAACTTACATTGAATACACTTTAATTTTAGGAATCTGCCTGTTTATATCCTTCAACTCATTTAGTCTTCTGACCTTATTTGTTGAAATGGTTTCCTATTTATTGTTTGCTTTGCTACTTTATCCTTTTCTTTGCTAAACAGAGGTTTTATATTTTTCTATGGTCTAATCTATTTAACCTTTGCCTTTATTACTTCTGCCTTTAGTAAATCTGCTATTAAAATCTACCTACACTCTATTTAGTAGCAGGCTGTCATAAAAAATTTTTTAAAATAAATAAATAAAATTCCCCTACACGCTAAAGGTATATAAAGGCAAGGGCGGTAGACTGTATTATAATACTTTCACAATTGTTCACTGCTAACTCCTATGGGAAAAGGTCACATCCACACTCCCTTGACTTTAGTCTTGTCTTTGCTTATGCTGTGGCCCATGGAACACAAGCAGACGTGATGTTCACCACAATCAAGCAATGCTTAAAAAAGCATTGCCCTTTTCCCATGGCCACAAGAATGGCATGTCTCAAAGAGGTGCTGCTCTAGGCGAGATCCTAGAACCAGATGAGTATGTGAAAGAGAACCAGGTGAAGAAGCCCAGGGCAACTGACTTGCAGTTGCCAAAATGTAATGTAAGTGAGAGAGAAATTATGTTCTAAGACACTGAGATTTTGTGATTGTTACTGCAGCAACACAAATGAACAATCATCTATATTTTCTTTTAGAATGTTTATCACTTCATTTGACATAAATGGCAATTTGGATAGTGCTGAATTCTTGGATCACAACCATTTCAAACCATTAAAGTTTAGTTTAAGATAGACTGTTTGATATGTATAAGGGACATTCATTCAAGTGAGTATGTTTCAGGAGGAGAGTGCTACTCTTAACCTTTCCTCTGAAATAGCCACAATAGCACAGGAAACTAAATATGGGTGTTCTGTAGGCACATCACAAAGCAACCACTGCTGATATAAATTTCTTTTAAATCTCTTATTTGACTTCAAAAATAATGTTTATTTCTTTAAAATCTTTGAGCAAAATGAACATTCAAGAAAAGCATTCCATGTTTATTTCCTGGTGCTACATATCCCAAGCAAACTGTTCTGGTTTGAGAGGCACAGCAGGAGATCGATGCATACTGGAATCAGTGAAGTAGCATGTTCATAGGCTTTGGTGCCAGACATAGGTTCAAATTTCAGTTCCACCAATTTCTTAAAAGGTGTGACCTTTGGCATTATATTTAACTTTTATATTTACTGTCTCCTCCTCTGTAAAGTGGGGATAAGCTAAGCTTCTATTGTAGTGCAGGTAGAATTAATAAAATAATATATTAATATATAAAGAACCTCAGTATAATTTCCAGTATATAGTGGGACTTAATAAATAGTACCTTAGGGGAAAGGTCAAAGGCAGAATGTATAAAATTAGGAGGTACTAGCATGGAAGTGATACCTGAAATATGTGGATATAAATAAAGGTTCCAAGGAAAAATTTGAAAAGTAGTCAGAAAACCAGATAAGTCAAAGAAGAGTTTAGAGTAATGAGCAGTCAAAAGTGTCAAATACTCCATAGAGGTAAAATTAAATGAAAAGTGAATACTAGACTTGCAAAGTGGGAGGGAATTTGTACCTTTTTATAGATATGTGAGTGGTACGATAGTCACAGAAACCAGACTCCAGTGAATGGAAACTAAATAGTAGAAGCAGCAGTAATCTGGTAATGAAGGGGAAAAAGAACTACAGCAGAATCAATGGGAAGTTCCCCCCTTTTACGGATGGTGTAACTAAATCTAAGGAAAAGTATTTTTTATTAAAAAAATTCTTTTTTCATTATCCAGTCCCTGAGTTGAAATGCAACAGTATTTTATTAAAGAGTCCATGGTAAATCAGGTAGCTTCCCTGATTATCTCATGTAAGCAAAGGTTGTCAGGAACTGTGGTTAGGTGTGTCTTATCACTAACTTGGTGGTGGTGGTAGAAAAGGTCATAAATCTGAAGGAAAAACGAATAGAGAAAAAAAGGAAATCTTATGTGCCAGTCAACTTAAAACAGTTTTCCCAAATGGACAGTGCTCTGGGCTGGCCTCTACAAAGTGGAGCAGGCAGGAAGCTACAGTGCTGCTTTCTCATTTACTACCATTACACCGCTGCTTAAGTCTTTTCTGCATAACGGGGAAACGGTTTTGTTTCACAGAGCCAAGCTATATACACATAATCCAAAGTGTTTCTGTTGTTTTTATCATCAAAATAATTTATTTTCTGATTGTTCTCCTGTGTCTCTTAGAACTGTTTTCTTTAGTAAGTACTGTTGTCTTTTTTTTTTAAACTCTTTCTGTTTTATTTCATTAAGCTTAGTTATCTTTAAATTTAGACTTACCCTCTGCTTAAGACTTCTCAATCAGACTTGCTTCTAATTTTAACAATGGTAAAGCGTTTCCTTACATTTTTTAAAACTGAAAAGATTTAAAGCTGGAAAGATTTACATTTATATTTTAAAATGCATTTAAATATGAATGCACAGTTTTTATGCTTTTGTTTAGTATTATAACAAATATTCAAAAGAAAATCAGAAATTGATTTTCACAAACAAACAAAAAAAGTCACCTGGCTGTGTCCAACTCTTTTCCTAACATCCCAGAAAAAGACCTGCTTTATTTTTTCGAGACAGTATCTCATTGTTTTACCCAGGCTGGCCTTAAACTCCTGGGCTCAAGGGATCCTCTTGCCTCAGTGCATCAATGCACCCACCTTCTGCCATTTCTCATAGTTTAGATGTAATTTATTAACACTGTATGACAATTAAGAATATTTTTGGAACAAAGAAGATGATCTGAACTGAAACACAAAATTGCATACACAAAACATTTCAACAAAGCACTACAGTTACAAAGTGCTTTCAGAGGAATTATCTTACTTGACTGTTAGAACAACACTTTAGGTAGGTGGTGGGATCCCATTTTACAAAGGAGAAAACTGGGGATTAGAAGATAATTATGTTCTCTCCAAATCACAGATGACAGATAAAGCCCAGACTCGAAGACAGATCTTCCAAATTCAATCTGTTTCTTTTACTTTATCATAGTGTTTGAAGTATCTTAGGTGAACAGCAGAATACTTACACCAATTTCAAACTTTTTACACCTTTATTTTCATGTTCTTGTTAGTCATCATTCCATATTAAAATACTAAGTTAAATAGTAACTTACTTTTATTTTGCTTTCGGATGGCAAAACTATTTATAGCAATGAACTTACTGAGAATTGCTTTACTCACATTTCATAGCTTTTGATATATAGTATTTTCATTGCCAAAGACTATATTTTAAGGTTTTTGTCAGTAACATGCATTCCTAGAATTAATATAGTTTTGAAGAATCCTTAGGTGTTAAATTGTTATCATTTTGAGTAAAGATAATATTCATTACAACATGGACTGGCCCATCATACATATACTTTATATCAAGTAAACTTAGAATTAATAAAATTTAACATTCAATGTTAATATACCTACATGAAACTCTTGATTTTCTTGAACAATACTACTCATTAAAAGAAACAATTTCTAAATAACCTGGCTAGTAGTTTGGAGCAAAGGTCAACCAGCAAAGCTGCACATTAATCTCCCATGGGGAAATTGTATGAAAGAAAACTACTCTATGGTCAAAAATTGACACATGATCTCAAGATGTATCAATTCTATCAGAAAAAAAATCCAATACAAAGATTCTATTACCAGTAGATGTAAAGACACACATCTGGCAAAATCTGAGGATGTACTTAACCTATAGCAATCTAAGTAAATGCAATATATGTACCTGTTCTTCATTAGACGAACCTCTCTCTTTCGGGCTGCTTCTTCAGCAGGTTGTGTAGGAAGTGCTGGAGAGGATGCCATAACAACTCCAGGGGCAATAGTGCTAGTGGGTGCTGTGCGAATCTGGTATGTTTGTACATCTCCAGAGGCAGCTGAAAAGAATAGTGAACATGATATAAGACAGAAACACTGCAACTTGATGCAACCGTGTCAATCATCTATCTAAGCAAACATTCTGGATTAAAAGGGAAGCAAAAATAACAGATGATGATTCTGACTAACATGTTGAAAGAATCAGCACTCTTTGGGTCATTATTAAGAAATAATTCCCAATTTAATGTATTTATTAGTATAGACACGGGTGAAAGAGGTCTTAACCTATGTCTGGGTTTTATATTTATTTTTCATTGGAATGAAGTTCTATGCTGTTGTTAACATGCTTACCAACCTTAAGTCTAAAAGGTAAGTAGGGCACAGCTTGGATGATCTTCCTAGATATAGTCCTCAATGTCTTCCTTTTGATATTGGTAAATTCATATTAAAAAATTTCAAGTAGACTCTTGCCACGACATAAAAACGACCATGATTTTTCATAAAATAGCAAAATAGAAGAGAAAATAAAGCATTATGGTCAACTATTATAGATTTCTAATTAAAACAAAACTGAAAGTATGAAAAAGTGTACTGACTTGATGTCAATTATATAATCTGTAAACATATTCTTTTAATGTAAATGATAATGGCTAAATAAACTGAAGTTTTATTTTTCTAACTGATCACCATTTCTGAAAACAAACACAATCACTATTTGTCAAACTGCTTCTAAAAACAGCTTCATAATATGCTCTCCTAATAAGGAACCTAACATTACTTAAGAGAATTTGAAGGTATATAAAATCATTCATATTATTAATATCAATTAAAATGTGTATAGTTTGAGTGGAAAAATTTATACTAAATGTGTTACCATCTTCAAACTGACGTTGAGAATTCAAATTCACTGACATCCTGCTTTACAATTTTTGAGTACCTGCATGTAAAGTGAAAAGGTGTTTTATTCCCATCAATAAGGAAAATATTATCTTTTTCAAATATTTGTTTGTAACAGAATATATTCTGTAAATACATTAGGGCTCTTTAAATAAGTTATGACTATAGAAACAACTTTGGCTTTTTAGGAAAAAAAAGTTATGATTCTCTCCAGTTGGTATTTTAGGATCATTCAAAAGTTATTATCTACAATAAAGGGATATATATGTCATTACCTAACATAGGAAAAATGTATTATTTATGAAAACATTTAAAAAAATTTATTATTATTTCCTCAATCTGCAAATTTCTAATCTGGCCCAATTTATATTCTTGAAATATTTAAATAAATTCAAAGAAAAATGGTCAATTCCTATCCATAAAGGTTCCCAAAATAAAAAAAGCAATTTCTATGATTCATCAAGGATTTAGCTACTACTTTTTCTCTAAAGACCAGCAGATTTGCATACTGATATAATATCTTTTGGAATAGAATGTTTTCATTCAAAATAAAAACTGATGGTCTTAGAAAAAAGAGGTCCTAAAATTTCTTTTAACAAAATACAGAGAAACAGAATTCTCCAAAGATTCTGTTTTGAATCTTTGAATCTTTGGAATCCAAAGATTCCAAACAGAACCTCCAAAGATTCTTATCAGTGATTTAGCACAACTCTCATTTGAAACATGGGGAAAAAAATGAGGCCCAGAGAGGATGGGTCTTGTTCAAGGTCACATAGCAGATTGAAGCAAAGTTAGATCTTGAATCTATCTTTCCCAATTCCTTATTTCCTTGCCTTTCCTTCTAACCTACCCTATTTCTCCTACCCCAAATACTAAAGGTGTTAAAGATAGATAGATGCTGTATTTTTAAAACTGAAAATAGTTGTTTTTATGCCATGACATTTTGGTCCAATTGGAATAATGGAAGAGCTCATGGAAAATATTTTCTGTAATATACTGAAGAAAAATTAACTACATTTTAACAGTGCTTTGTAATATGATACTTACTTTTTCTGAGAGTTTATAAAATTTTAATATTTCAAGGAATTTTCTACACCTGTGAATTCGGAATTCCCTTACCTTGAACAACAACTTGGTTGCTGGGCACTAAGATCTGTTGTCCATCAGTGGTCTGTGCATACTGCAGAATGGTAGTACCCGGCTGAGTGGCGGCTGCATTGGTCATGGTTAATGTTTGCAGGCCCTGTACCCCATCGGTACCATTGTTAGCCAGTTGTATTGCTCCTCCCTGGGTAATGGCAACTAAAACCCAATGGATTTTATTGTTATAAGTGTAATTGATACCATATAATACATTTAAAATACATTAAATCCAATGTAGAATAATTTGCAAGACATAATCTAAGAGAAATTACAGTAAATAACATCACCAAGAAGGATCTGGTATACTCAAGTAACCTGCTGCACAGGAAACCCATAATCAATTTCTACAATAGAAATGCACTCTATGAACCATATTATAATTTATAATAATTATGCCTATTAACATCTTTAAAAAAACATGTAAGTGGGAAAATGTTAAATCCCTTTTGAAGTTATGTGATTCTGAAGAGGTTCCACTTTGTGATCCATACTTTATTTTAGCATTAACTATATAATATATTAATTGTTTAATATTTGCTATACGACTAGTAAATAAATTTTAGGGTTAGAAATGTGATTTTTCTTCTCTTCTTTCATGCACTTAGCACAGTGGTGGGCATGTAATAGGCACCCAATAAATGGTTGTTTTAAAGTGTAATTCATGACAGTTCATCAGTGCAGTCCATTCTACTCTAACTCTTCTAGCAATTCATAAACTATTTCAAAAGTCCACTCAACGAAGCAACTGAAATATCCTATGGAACTTAATTATCACAGAGTCGCTCATAGAGTTTAAAATCAGAGCTCAAGATCATCATTTAGAAAAAAATATTTTACTGTCATTTCTAAGTTACATATTCAAACATTTGCATATAGGACCATTTGTTGTTCATACCATAATTAACCACATTTGCCATTCATCTATTACAAACTAAATCAACTTTTGCTAACACTAATAGACATTTCCCTTTATAAAAAGCTGAAATCACCTTTATGCTACCGTATATGGAAAAAGTTAATTTAAAAAATAGATAATTTTATTTGGAAGAAGCAATCCTTTAGATTCTAGCACTGAGATACACACTTGGATCCTCTCTAGACAAATCTCCCTAATAGGGGTCAAGTTTTCCAGAAAGAGACAGACCAAAAATCACATTATATATAAAATAGTGTAATGGATCTTAACTAAGAAAAAACTAAAATATGTAAGAAAATCAACATGTCTGACTTAAGCATGTTACTATTAAATACCTATTAGAAAGGAATTAGTTTGGGATGAATTGTTAGCAAGTTCTGGGAAACTATAATATCCTGAAGCATTTGTACATGGAAAATTAATTCTCCACTGCTCAATCAAGAAATAAGAGGAGGCTGGGTGCAGTGGCTCATGCCCAGCACTTTGGGAGGCAAAAGTGGGAGGATCACTTGAGGCCAGGAGTTGAGACTAGCCTAAGCAACATAGTGAGACTCTGTCTCCACAAAAAAATAAATATTAAAAAAAAAAGAGGCCGGGCGAGGTGGCTCACGCTTGTAATCCTAGCACTCTGGGAGGCCGAGGCGGGCGGATTGCTCAAGGTCAGGAGTTCAAAACCAGCCTGAGCAAGACCCCGTCTCTACTATAAAAATAGAAAGAAATAATGGCCAACTAATATATCTATATAAAATTAGCGGGCATGGTGGCTCGGCCTGTAGTCCCAGCTCTCGAGGCTGAGGCAGCAGGATTGCTTGAGCCCAGGAGTTTGAGGTTGCTGTGAGCTAGGCTGACGCCATGGCACTCACGCTAGCCTGGGCAACAAAGCGAGACTCTCTCAAAAAAAAAAAAAAAAAAAAGAAATAAGAAGAGTTAATGGCTATGATGTGGTTAGTTTAGCAAAAATAATACTTGTGGAAATTAAAACATTGGCATATATAATCCATCCACTTTAGCTAATCCCAAAAGTTTTACTTATCTTAGACAAGGGGAAAAAAATGGAATGTGGAAGAATTATTCTAAGATTAATTTTGTGTGATTACTTCAAAGAATCAGAAGGTTAACAGAATCAAATCCCAATTTCTCATGTATAGTTAATATGCAAATTCCACTAAGTGTAACACACCACTTTCTGCTTGGTTTGCACAGCAATGAACTCAAGGTATGAGGAAGGAAGTAGTAAACCATATATGAAAAGACCTGAGTTCTAGTCCAAGTGCCATCACTAAACTTATTTATAAGGTCAGGCGCGGTGGCTTACGCCTGTAATCCTAGCACTTTGGGAGGCCAAGTCGGGCGGATTGCTCGAGGGTCAGGAGTTCGAAACCAGCCTGAGCAAGAGCGAGGCCCCGTCTCTACTATAAATAGAAAGAAATTAATTGGCCAACTAATATACAGCCGGGCATGGTGGCACATGCCTGTAGTCCCAGCTACTCGGGAGGCTGAGGCAGAAGGATTGCTTGAGCCCAGGAGTTTGAGGTTGCTGTGAGCTAGGCTGACGCCATGGCACTCACTCTAGCCTGGGCAACAAAGCGAGACTCTGTCTCAAAAAAAAAAAAAATATTAGAGAGAAAAACCATGTTCAGTAGGATCAGATTTTAGCTTTCAACATATTTTCATATATATGACCACATTTGATATTTACCACAATTGTACTTAGTGGCTAGAACCTTATGTTTTTATTTATAAATAAGTTGGTTTTTTGTGGGTTTTTTTTGAGACAGAGTCTCGCTTTATTGCCCAGGCTAGAGTGAGTGCCATGGCATCAGCCTAGCTCACAGCAACCTCAAACTCCTGGGCTCAAGCAATCCTTCTGCCTCAGCCTCCCGAGTAGCTGGGACTACAGGCATGTGCCACCATGCCCGGCTGTATATTAGTTGGCCAATTAATTTCTTTCTATTTATAGTAGAGACGGGGCCTCGCTCTTGCTCAGGCTGGTTTCGAACTCCTGACCTCGAGCAATCCGCCCACCTCGGCATCCGAGAGAGCTAGGATTACAGGCGTGAGCCACCGCGCCCGGCTCTCTCTAATATTTATTTATATGCTTCATTATTCCAAAAGCGTTTGAGATTGTTTTTAATAAAACAAAAATCATTAAAGCAAGAATAAAAAGATAAAAGTCAAGTCAATGATATACCTCTAACTATATATAACAATTCTATCAGAAAATCTATACTAAGAAAAGTATATAAACAATTAAGTATAAACTTAGTTGAGATTCTGGAATAAAGGAGAAAACATCATGAGACAGTTTTATTTAGTGAAACAAAAAAATTCAAGTTCAAAATGACAGTTACATGTTTTTCTACCTAAGAGCAGAATCTCTAATAAAACTTCAATATCAGGGAGAGGTGAACCAAGTAATGAATAAACCCAATAACAGGATGAATTAAAAATAACCAATTTATGGAAGGAATATAAACTGACACAAGCACTTGGAAGAGCAATTGGGGAGGATATGCATTCATTCAACAATTCCACTCTTAGTATGCTATCCCACTGAGATGCTGCTACATATATAAGGACGTTTATTTAGACTTATTTGAAATAGTAGAAATGTCCTAAATGTTCCTCAGTGGAATAATGTTAAATGGTACATTTATACAGTGAAACATGATGCATGTAATGGTTAAAGAAACAATATACATAACTATATGTATGTTTGTATGTCTACAGCATATAAATAATGTAGATTTGACTTGTGTAAAAAACCTGATAACATGTGTATATATACACAGAATGGAAAAGAATGGAGGAAGATATATCACTCTTACTATTGGAAAGGGATGAAAAGGATTTTTACTTTTCATTAATATTATAAACCTCTAGCATTTGAATTTTGACAACCATGTATTCATTTTATAAGTTAAGATGTAAATATTGCTATATATGTGAATATTTATTATATTGCTTCTTAATGAAAAAATCAAGAACATAATGTTAAATCAGTTCCATCAAATGCATATACAGAGAGGATGAGGGATAAAGATAATGAACAAAGCTTTAAAAATCCCAAGGTATTAATCTCTTAAAACTAGTAGTTTTCAGTTGCTGGAGGAGACGGGTATACCAAATTAAACATGTAGGGGGACAGTGGTATTTCTCTAAACTTCACTTCCCTTTTTCGGATTATGATAAGCCTCTTTTCTAAAGAGCATGCTTTCTAGTCTGAGTGAGAATCTCTGTAATAATGCATCTCTGTTACTGACAGGAGAATGTTGTAGACCTTAGGTATGCTGAAGTAGGGAAACAATAAAGATTATGTATCAATGTTGCAGAACATCTTAAATAACTAAAATTATCTGGATATGAAGCTAACTTAAACTAAAAATACACATACAGGTAGGTATAGATATGCACCTCTTCATATCTACCAACAAAGAGCTCATTCAACTTAAATAGTGGATAAAAAGTTTAGTAAAAAATGCCTGCCTTCTACTTACTATCAAAAGTTTCAGCTTTGGGAGAGCTAAAAAGTTTGCTACTTGAAAATCTGCTCCTAATAGAGTTGGAATGCTAATTAAGTGTAATACAAACCAAGGCTGATTTTTTTAGCTATAACTAAAAAATTAGTGTCCTGGGGTGGGGGGGTCAAACTTTTACATATATTTCAGATACAGATTACTTCAGGGTATTAGAAAACTAATGCAATGAAGGAGGTTTAATGTGTATATTTAATTTGTAATTAAGGTGGGAGGAAAACTATATAATGGGCAGTACTAGGTTTAATGAACAAATCAAAATGAAAAAATGAATGAATGAAGCATTTGGAGAAGCAATGGTTTAGGGGAAAAAGAGGGAAAAAAAGTACCTTCGCACAAATACCTTTGGTCACATAAAAGCAGAATTCAAAAGCATTTTATAATAGATTTAGGTGAAAGATAAGAAGAGGTAAAAGAGATGGGAAAACTAAATGCCAGACAAAGACATCATAGAAATGAAAACTTCAATAATTTTGCCTTCTGTAAGCCAAAATGCAAAGTGTCTGAATTTCAGCAGTCCTTATGTTTACATTATCAGAATTCATGACACTACCTTTATATGAAAAGGAGTAATGATTGAATGTGCTGGCAGACTACAACCAAGCCAATCCCACCTCCACTTGAAACATTATAAAATACAAAGATTTTTAAATGCCACTTTTAGAAGGAAAGACAAATTATTCTAAGGAATAATGAGACCATTTTTGGCATTAAATATATCAAAGGATAATTGTTTTCCTTATCTGAAAAAAACTCATGTCCTCTCTTAACATATATGAAGACTAAGTCTAGAGGTTCAAAAAACTTTAGACTCTTCATGAACCTGCACAAAATAAAGGGACATCTAAAGGGCTTACATATTTGAGTAATCCTAAATAAAACTCTGAAGAAAATACTTCTATTACAGACCTTTGCATATTAAAGAGTAAAGGAAATATAATAATGGCAGCAAGACTAAGAAAAGACTTGGCACTTATATGATTCCTTCAAAGAGAATGCAAACATTAGTTTTTCTTCTCAATTTTAAAAACAGAAATGATCTATTACTCACTATACTGTCCACTGCTAGTTTGGTAAATCGGAGTTGGCACCGTTACAGTGGTGATGGCAGGTGCTGAAGTCTCCTCTTCAGACTTTTCTTCTTCAATCCTTGGCACTCCTGGTGCATCAGAAGATAAGTCATTCAGAATTTTCCTAGAAAAATAGAGAACTGTATTAATTTAAAAATGTAAGTAAAATTTACTGCTTAAATACAAATAGTTAAAGATGAGAAAATTGGCATAAAGCTGCCAGTGCTTAGGATAGAAACTTAAAATATATGAATTATAAGAATAAACTCCAAATGGATCAGGGATCAATCTATATGTCAAAACGAACCCAAATAAGCACTGAAAACATCAAAGACTGGCAGGTGCAGTGCCTCATGCCTGTAATCCCAACAGTTTGGGAGGCTCAGGGAGGAGAATGGCTTCAGGCCAGGAGTTTGAGACCAACCTGGGCAACACAGTGAGACCCCATCTCTACAAAAACAGAAAAATTAGCTGGGTGTGGTAGCATGCACCTGTAATCCTAGCTACTCGGGAAGCTGAGGTGGGAGGACTATTTGAGACCAGGAGTTTGAGGGTGCAATAAGCTATGATTGCACCAATGTACTCCAGCCCGAGTGACAAAGTGATACCCCCCTCAAAAAACAAAACCAAAGATGAATTCTCTTTGGCTTGAGTATAAGTAAAAGCTCACTATGACCTAAAATCCACATGCAATCAGAGATAAATAAAACTGACTACATAAATTCTTTTGCATTGCAAAAAATACCAATATAAAAAAAATAAATAAAAACCAAAAAACTAGAAGATATTTACATATATCAGGGGCCACCTGATATTTACAGAGAAGATATTTACAGATCAAGGGCCACCATCCTCAATATATAAAGAACTCTTAAAAATTAAGGGGTGGGCCTTAATTTGGCCTGGTGGCCAAATTAGGCATGGTGGCTCACATCTATAATCTTAGCACTTTGGGAGGCCAAGGCTGGAGGAATGCTTGAGGCCAGGAGTCCAAGACCAGCCTGAAAAACATAGCAAGACACCATCTCTACAAAAGATAGAAAAATTAAGTGAGCATGGTAGCACATGCCTATAGTCCCAGCTACTTGAGAGGTAGGTGGATTGCTTCAGCCCAGGAGTTTGAAGTTGCAGTCAGCTATAATGACACCACTGCACCAAGAGAGTAACACCCAGTCTCAAACAAAAAATATAAAAAAATAAAAATAAAAAAATTAAGGGGTAAAAAAGACAAAAAACCTGATCTTTTAACTTCTTAATTATCAGACTGGTAGAAATTAAAAAGTGTAACAACATATTCTGTTAGCAAAGCTGCAGGGAAACAAGACCCACACTGCTGCTGGGATTATAAAATTGGCACAACCCTGACAGAAGGAACTTGGTGACATCTAAGAAAATTACATGTTTAAACATCAATTTCACTTCCAGCAATTCACCCTACTTCCAACAGTATAAACACATTTGCTTAAGGTTATTCACAGTAGTACTTTTTATAACTGCAAAATACTGGAAATAATCTATATGTTCACACATAGGAAAGTGGTTGAATAAACTACAGTACATCCAAATAATGGGTATAGCATGACATCTATCATGTAAGAAAGAAAGAAAGTATATATGTATTTACTATTTGTTCAAGAAAAAAAATCAGGTTGGATAAACCAGAGCTTAGTGAGTTCAGTTATCTACTAGGGGTTATGGGTAGATGGGACAAAAGTGAAAAGGATAGAAGAAATGGGGGGAGGGTCGACGGTGCACTATTGAGTACACTTTTTAAAATAATTCTGATATAAAGAACAGTGTTAATGTTTCACATACTTAAAAAAATAAAGTTAAGGTCAACAGGGATGGGGGAAGAACTCTAAAATGTAATACAAAAAACAAATGAATCTTATCATATTTCAAATGAATAACACAATCACACTGAGGAGGGAAAAAACCCCTAACCCAAATAATTTTTGACATTGTAAAATTTATAACAATATTTAGCTTCAACAGTCTACCCAAGCTCTGCCCCTTTATGTTGTTATTGCTAAACAAATGACATCTTCATACACTGTATGCTCATTAACAAGATTTTTAGTTATTATTTTTATGCCTTTGTCTTTCAAATCACATAGGAAGAAAAAAAGGAGTTACAAACCACAACTATAATAATCCTGGCTTTTATATTTACCTATGTAAGTACTTTTAACTAATATAGAAACTATTTTACTATTATCTCTCTTTAAATACTTCCTTTCTCCCAATTTCCTCCTCTGGAAATTCTATAAATGCTTCTATTGGAGCATCTCATTCTGTTCTCCATGACTTTTCACCTGTGTGTCACATAGTCTACTTTATTTCTGTTCTCCACTCTTAGTTATTTCCTCAGATCTCTTCCAGTTTACCAATTTTCTCATCAGCTACTTTCATCTAGTTTATCCCATTTACTGTTTGTTTGTTTGTTTGTTTATTTATTTATTTATTTGAGACAGAGTCTCATTCTGTTGCCCGGGCTAGAGTTCCATGATGTCAGCCTAGCTCACAGCAACCTCAAACTCCTGGGCTTAAGCAATCCTCCTGCCTCAGCCTCCTGAATAGCTGGGACTACAGGGATGTACCACCATGCCCAGCTAATTTTTATGTGTGTGTGTGTGTATTTTTTTTTTAGTTGTCCAGCTAATTTCTTTCTATTTTTTTAGTAGAGACAGGGTCTCACTCTTGCTCAGGCTGGTTTCGAACTCCTGACCTTGAGTGATCCGCCTACCTTGGCCTTCCAGAGTGCTAGGATTACAGGCATGAGCCATCATGCTCGGCCCACTTACTATTTATTTTTAAAATTCCCATGAATGTACTTCTCATTTCCAAGATTTCTTACTGATTCTTTTCTATCTGTTCTGTGAACTCCTTATTGTAAGGATGCTTTTCTCTCTATCTCTTTGGAAATAAAAACATAACTATGTTATTTTAAACAACTCATAAACTGGCAGCTGGTCAACAGATCATACACCTTAGGTTAACAATGCTCTAGAACTGTGGTCCCCAACCCTGGAGCTGTAGACTGGTACCAGTCTGTGGCTTGTTAGGAACCAGGCCATACACCAGGAGGTGTACGGTGGAGCAGCCAGTGAGGTGAGCCAAGATTCATCTGTATTTACAGCAGCTCCCCACTGCTTGCATCACTGCATAAGCTTTGCCTCCTGTCAGATCAGCTGCATTAGATTTTCATAGGATCTTGAACCTTAACACAAATTGTGCATTCAGGGGATCTAGATTGTACACTCCTTGTGAGAATCCAATACCTGATGATCTGAGGTACCTGATCTGCAGGGGAGTGGCTGCAAATAGATTATCATTAGCAGAGAGGTTTGACTACACAATAAACGTAATATGCTTGAATCCTCCCCAAACCATTCCCTCACCCCTGGAAACATTATCTTCCATGAAACTGGTCGCTGGTGCCAAAAAGGTTGAGGAACGCTGATTTAGAACAGTGTTTCTCAAACTGAGCATGAAAAAGAAGCACTTAAAGAGTGTATTAAAACAGAATTCTGCGTCCCTACTTTAAAGAGTCTAATGCATTACATGTGGGGTGGGGGCCCAATTTGCATGTCTAGTCAGATGCTGATTTACCAGTCTGGTCTATAGACAACATTGTGAGTAGTACTGGACTCCAGAGCACTGTTTTTTAAACTAAAGTCACAATCCTCATGCGGGCCATGAAAGCAAGTAAGTGCACTGTGACCAACATAAAACACCAAATGAGAAATAGGTGAACCAGAGGCTGAGAATAGTGGGGAAAAGAGGAATGGAGAAGGGTGGAAAAAAGGAATACAGATGTATTTATTACCACTGAACTACACACTTAAAAACAATAAAGACGATAAATTTTACATGTATATTTTATCTCTAAAAATATAGCTGAACATCACACATGAGAAGGGTTAAGTACTGCTTTGTGTATCTTTTGCTTCAGATGTCTGTGTGTATATATAAGTGTACAGATACACATAAATATATGTATAATTTATGTGTATATATTTGTATGTATTATATAGAAAACTGTAATTTATTTATTTATTTTTTTTGAGACAGAGTCTCGCTTTGTTGTCCAGGCTAGAGTGAGTGCCGTGGCGTCAGGCTAGCTCACAGCAACCTCAAACTCCTGGGCTCGAGCGATCCTTCTGCCTCAGACTCCCGAGTAGCTGGGACTACAGGCATGCGCCAGCCACCATGCCCGGCTAATTTTTTATATACATATCAGTTGGCCAATTAATTTCTTTCTATTTATAGTAGAGACAGGGTCTCGCTCTTGCTCAGGCTGGTTTTGAACTCCTGACCTTGAGCAATCTGCCCGCCTCAGCCTCCCAGAGAGCTAGGATTACAGGCGTGAGCCACCACGCCCGGCGTAAACTGTAATTTAAAGAAACACTTCTTACTGCGGATTATGGTCAAAAAAGTTTAAAAGCTACTTACTAGACTTGCAAATAAATCTACTCTTTTGCATGACAATGCAAACATATGAAGTGATTATTCTTCGATTTTTGTTTCCAGTTTTTCATATTATTGCTCTAGAGCATTTTGTTATCCTCCCTGAAGACAGTTTACTTTCTCTTAAAGTATATTCCAGATGTAGTCTAAGCATTGCGATTAATTCCCTTAATCTAGACACTAGATTTTTATTAATGTAGTTTTACAATGTATTGGTTTTTTGGGCAGCAATATCACAACAATAATTAAAGAGCTTAATTATCTTTTACAAATGAATTCTTAATCCAAAATCCTATACTGAATAACTTGTTTTATTTTATACAAGTTCAGAAACTTTACAGTTATTACTACCATTTCACCCTATTTGTTTCAGTCTATTTCCATTGGCTGCTATGATCTTTCAAAGTACTTATTCTCCCCCATCCATCAAGGTACTTTTAAGTACCTTGTCATTTACAAATTTGATAAGCATGGTTTCTATGTTTTTCAGATAAACTGCTGGTAAAAATACCAAGCCAAATGAGACCAAGTGAGAGCCCTTTGAGAACTTCCTCTGGCTATAAATTAATCACTATTAAGGTGGGTTGTTCCAATAAAAACTCACACATTATTTTCACTTATCATGTAATCCCCATTTCTCCAACCTTACAAGCATATAAAAAAACTTTTGTTAAATACTTTGCCCAAGACACTGAGACTAGGTTTTACAAATTTATACGTTTAAAATAAAAGAACAGTATCCCAGTGTGGAAGTTTGATTGTAAGGAAGATACAATTATCTTTCATGACAGTGGTCCTTTCTCTGCATATGTGTGGTCTTGGGACATCTTTCATCTGATTATTAAAGTGTTATTACTTAAATGACCTTTGCTAAGATTTAGACTACATACCAATTAAAGCAAATAAAAAGGTTTTTTTCCAATGAAAGCTCATATTTTATAAGGTCTACAATTAAGATTTCCTTAGAATTTATATAGAGAGAAGCCATGTGGCTTGTTAGTACCAAATGTGTTATATGCTAACACATGTGCTTCAAGATCAAATGTGTTATATACTAACATGAGATATACTTCAAAGCTAAAATCTAACACTAGCTATATTTAAAACAAAAGAAATTATGAGTGTAAATGCATATAACATATACCTGGTCACATAAAAGTTTTTAAGACTTCAAAATAATTTATCCACATTCATTTTGGACCCTTAATTTAATTGTGAGGATGAACAAAAGGGTTAGTTTAGTAGCCAAGTAAGAGGGAGAAAAAAGACACCAACCACCCCTTGAAAAACAGGAAAATAAAGAGAATAATTTAGACTAACAAGGAAGATAATTATGAGCCTGAAGTTTATTAATCTCTGAAGTAAGCTTATCAAGATCTGTGGAATTACCCTTCTTGGAGATATTTAATATGGAACTAATTTCTACATATAAAAAATAATTTTGAGGCCGGGCGCGGTGGCTCACGCCTGTAATCTTAGCACTTTGGGAGGCTGAGGCGGGCGGATTGCTCAAGGTCAGGAGTTCGAAACCAGCCTGAGCGAGACCCCGTCTCTACCAAAAATAGAAAGAAATTAATTGACCAACTAAAAATATATATACAAAAAATTAGCCGGGCATGGTGGCGCATGCCTGTAGTCCCAGCTACTCAGGAGGCTGAGGCAGGAGGATCTCTGAGCCCCGGAGATTGAGGTTGCTGTGAGCCAGGCTGACGCCACGGCACTCACTCTAGCCTGGGCAACAAAGTGAGACTCTGTCTCAAAAAAAAAAAAAATAAAAATAAAAATTTTTGGTCCACCATGGAGGTAAGGCAGTATCTATAGCTGAACACAAACTAGAATAAAGGAGCCCCTAAAATTAGGAGATGTTAGCAGAACATAACTCGGAGACAGCTATTAAATTAATAGTTTTCTGCTAAGTACCACAGCATGAACAAATGGTTTACAAATGTGTTGCTAAGTAGATAAATGATGTAGCTTCAGAACTGACATATAACTAGAAAATGCTATAACCTTATCAAATGTGTTCCAGATTTTTAACAGAAAGGCAGCAGTCAGCACAGCCTACAAAAACAAACAAAAATTATCAGTGTTTACCCAGGACTGTTCAGAGTAAGAAGTTTTTCTTATTCTGCATGATAAGTTTCAATTTATTTGAGAGAAGTAACTCAAGATGAAGAGAAGTAATCTGTAAGGTAGTGACTTGAGGAGCCAACTGGTCTTCTAACATCTCTTTATCTGCAACTAACTAAGGCTTTCTGCACATCCTTGATTCTAAATTCTAACCATTAAATTCCATACCTGTAGGAAGGCCTCCTTGAAAGAATTTCCCTTCGTTTTTGGGAATCAGTTACACTATCCACTGACTCCTGTGAATCTTCACTCTCTGCAATAGTTGAAATCTGAAAATAAAGAAGAACTTTATCTTGATAATCAAATTTAGTTTCCATAAAATTTTTATAAATTTTAAGAAAGCCAAACACAAAAATACATATATAAGCCTTGTACATGCTTCAATAGGGGAAAAAAATCAATTTTCATGGGAGTCAACCACACCAATCACTCTCCCCTTCCCTTTACTTACCCTATAGACTATTTAAGATGAAGGGAGAGAACCTGAAACTTTGTAGCTTAATTTCTTTCAGGACTCCATGATACTGATTCTGAATGCATCAGTATTACTTATCAATTTTTTCTTAACATTTGTTGTAACAAAACTATCAATTAAAGTAAGGCTCCTGACTGCGGAATATAATGAATAACTAAATATTTGGTCAAAAGTCTATAAAGTGACTATCCAAATATTTTTTATATATTTTATATTTATATTGTGTAAATACTTATGAACATATTTACAATTGTACAAATAAGATCGGCAATCCCTCACCACATCTCAGATGGTTGTTTCTGACAATTTAGGAAAAAGTTCTTCCTGCATATAGACATGCTTCCAAGTTGGCAGTCTATAATTATTTTTAAGCAAAAATTCAAGGTAAGGAAAGAACTATGCATTTCTAGTTAAATGTCCCTAAGACTGAAAAGTAATCATATAATTGAATAAAGATTTTACATGGGATAATAGCAGAAACTAGAATTTATTGACAACTTACTATGTGCCAGGTGTTATGCACTTACGTATTATTACATTATTTAATACTCATAGTAAAGTAGGTGTCAAATGGGTACTTTACTACTATATCCGTTTTATAGATGGAAGAACTAAGGCACAAAGAGATTAAGTAACTCACCCAAGTCACAAAGTTAAGAAGTAGTGAAGCCACTGTTAATACTTAGCATCTCCATTTTAGACATCCTTACCAGCATCAAAATCCTGGTGGTTCCAGTCTCAAAGCAATTTTGTCAGAAGCAGCAACCGGTGGCATTTTTAGACCATTTCTAGACTAAAAGTTCACTCACCTAAAATGTTTATCTGTCAAATTAATACTGCCAAGTTTCTCTAGTGTAATTAGCAGGAGCCTTATGCTTCTTCCTGAACTAGGTGCACATGATGCTGTCAGAGAGAGAATTATATTTAACCAAGACAAAAGGGTCTCTGTGGGTTAGCTCCACATCAAAACATATGGCAATGGCAGTAAAAAAAAAAAAAACATATTCAGAGGTACTTGAGAAATTTCAAGGGTACTGTGTATATGGTGTGAGCCTGATGGTTCTGGAGAGCAGGTATTCATTTTGATAGGGCTTTGTGATATATGCATGCTCACTTTAAAACAAAATCAGGTAAATCCAGTAATGCTTTGAAAAATATACCTATAATAAAGTAATATACACCATCCAAACACTTTAAAGTATAAGTAGTATAGTCTGAAAGACCTAAAAATCAATAGGCAACATTTAATGAATCCAGGAATTACAGACAAAAAGATGGTCAAGGCTGAATTTAATCTGTGATTCTCGGAGGAGTAATAATGCTATAGTTATTGCCAAAGGAGCATATAGAAAAATTTTTCATTTATCAGTAGCTGCTGTAACTAGCCCATGCAACAGTTTCTGCATAAACTTTTTAGATATAGGGCAGATTAGGAACTATGAAAAGACCTTAGCAAAGGGTCAGAAATTCAAGGAACAGCAACAAGACTGAACTCAAAGTGGACAGTACTGTGACAATTATTGTTTACCTTCATTAATACTCCACTCAAAATCTACTTAGTTTTTCTGTGGCTCTTTCGCTCTGCCCTCTGTTTGTTTAACTCTTAAAAGTTCCATCCTTACAACCCTCTCTTAAGGACTATAGTGATTTAGTAATACCCCCTCCAAGTTGAAACTCATTAAAACAACATTAAAATATGCTACATAAATAATCCACAGAATAGTTTTGAAATGAAGTAAGTTAATGTTACTTTTTAATCTGTGGCCCTTAGTACATAAAAGGTTGTCCTTTTTTGATTTAAAACAGTTTGTCAATTCAGACAGAAGGAATTAACTTATCACTATTTAGTGATTACAACTTTTTAAATATAAAGGGAATTTAGAACTATTCAATACCACATAGTGAATGTAACATTTGCTCTTTGGGAATATTATCCAGAGAGAAGAAAGCCAATTCCTATGAACTCTCTAACAAAACCTCCAAAAAACAACAAAACAAAACAATAACAAAAAACTGCCAAAGAATATACCAACACCTAGAATGCAGGCTAATGTAAACTATGGTACAATGCAGGTACCTCTATTATAACACAAATGTACCAATCTGGTGGAGGATGTTAAGAATGGAGGAGGCTATACATGTAGGAGGCACATGGGAAGTATCTGTACCTTCTCAATTTTGCTGTGAACCAAAAATGTCTCTACAGCAATAAAATCTCAAAAAAAATCATACTGGATCCACATTTCTGAGACTAACGAAAACCATGTCAAAATCCATTTTATAAATAATTATTAATTATGGTTCAATACTTAACATATTATTAAAAATGACCCCATGGAAAATTATATTTCATAAGTATCACAGATACACATTCCAATGATGGAAGCTCTTTCTCTGGTCTTCATCTCCTATTACTTCTCTTATTAACTATTTCCTAAGTTCCTTAAATAGGTCTTTAATTTTGGCCACTTGCAAGTCAAGAAGCTTTCAAAAAGCCAAACTATCACTTGCAGATATAAAGCTTTTAGATCTGTATTTCACAACTTTGGTTTGTTTAAAACCCATACGGACCTTTTATATGAGGGGAAAAAATCTCCTGGTTTTGATTATTGAAATTTGAAAATAAACTATACACTGACTAGAACAAAATCAAAGCAATGGTAATATTTGATATTTTCTAAAACTATGCATGGTTCTCAGGAAATGTAAGTACTTTCCCTGGGTAGAGCTGAGGCTCATGATTTAGATACAGTTTTTTACTCATTGGATCAAGAAGCTTAGTAAACATCTAGAGCAATTATCTTCAAACTCTTAATTTGCAGATATCCCTTATAAATAAAAAAATTTTACGTAAGTATATATACATTACTTGTAAAATTTTTAAAGTGTACTCTTTATAAAACCAGAGTTCTTAAAGAGATAGAATAAGTATAAATATTAAAAACTAATTTCTACATTTCTTAAAGGTAAATCATTTAATTTTTCACTATAGTGAGAATGATGTGATTTAACATGTTTCACTAAAAAATCATTTAATACCTTATAACAGTGATTTAGAAATCTGACTCTAAGCTTAGGTTTTTTGAAATGTGATTTAACACCTGCTAGTGTTGGAAAAGAGAACTCATATAAGATAAAACTAAGTACATTTTAGGCTATGCTTTCATTTTCATCTATCGACTATGCAAGTTTTTAACAACATTTATTTAGTATATTTTTATCTCCCTGGCTCTAAGTCAGTTTATTATATGCTCATATAAAAGTGTTACTATTTCATATTTTTAACAAATAAATTCAACACCCACTGAAATACTAGAATATACTTCTGAATAGTTTAGAAAATTCTATCCATAGTCTATCTATATGCTTCTATCCATATAAAATTCTATCCATGTTCTATCTATATGCTTTTTAAAGTATATAGATTTAAGTTTTTAAAGAAGACAAACTTACATCTCCAACCACTCTCCTCTTTGCTTACTACATTCCAGCAACATCTTTCTGCTATTTCTTAATATCGCAAACATACTCTCACTTCAAACATTTGGGTTTGCTTTTATTATCTCTGCATGGCTCTCTCATTTCCAAACCTTCGGATCTTCATGGCTTAACCTCCTTCACTGCCTTCTGATCTTAGCTCACTGTGTTCCTTGACCATGTTAGGTAAACTAGAACACATCATTCCCTCCACATCATTCTCTATCCTTTTCCCTGATTCATCTAACACTTATCCTCACCTGCCATACTTTATTTTTTCATAGTCTGTTTCTCTTGATTCAAATATGATCTTCATGAGAACAGAGAAGTATTATTTGTTCACTGCTGTCTTTCAAACCACCTAGAACAGCGACTGGCACATAGCATGTGATCAACAAACATTTGTTGAAGAAATGGATATAATAATTTAAAGTAATATAATTCATAAATCCTCTCTCTGGCACTATATTGAAATGTAGGATAAGTGAGGATGTCACCCTGCCAATCCCTATACATTGTGAAATCCACATTATTTTTGCAAGGATTCTCACAAAATCTATTGAGAGGTGGTTTGTGTAAATACATACAGATAAAGTTGGGGCACTAAAGCCACACCGGATATGAAATATTAGTACGTATTAGTTTTTACACTAATTACATAGATTAAATTATATAAACAGAAGTCCCAATATCTTATTTTCACATCAAGAGAAATGAACCTTGTATATTTTGAAAATTTTGTTCAGGAATACTAATATTCTCCCATCTAGAAGTATGAAGAACCTCCTTGTTTGATGACCTCTTCTGATATAAACTACTTCCTAATTATTAATACTAATCACTATTAACCAGTTGAAATGACCATTAAAGTTTAATAAATTTTCCATGGTTTAGGTCTTTTAAAGCAAAATAAAACAGTATGTTTGTGTCTCTATTGTAGAATCCAGGGTTCAGAAAGCCCAACTTTTCTTCTGCAAATATACACACTTAAAATTGTCAGCATAGCTCACCTTAATGAAAAAATGTGTTCCTGAAAAGATAAATACTTATTTCTATAAAATTAAGGGCCATATAATCCCCAAGTCCAAATTATTTTATTTTTTTAGAGTCAGGGTCTCACTCTGTCACCTAGGCTAGAATGCAGTGGGCACAATCATAGTTCACAGTAACCTTTAACTTCTGGGATCAAGTGATTCTCCTGCCTCAGCCTCGTAAGTAGCTGGGACTAGCGGTATGTGACACTGTGCTCAGCTAGTTTTTTTATTTTTTTGTAGAGATGGGAGTCTCACTATGTTGCCCAGGCTGGTTTCAAACTCCTGGCCTCAAGAAAACCTTCTGTCTTGGCCTTTCAAAGTGCTAGGATTACAGGTATGAGACACCATGCCTGGTCCTCCAGGTCCAAATTATGTTGTCCCAAAATAAAGATTAAAATTAAGAATATAAACACCACATATTAAAACCAAAAATGATAGTCTTAGCAAATTTTGTGGCTATAATTTTAGTAATTTTTGTGTGTTCTTTATAGAAAGATCTTCTTCTATATGGCTATATAGGGATGATGTGACCAAGGTCATTTGACTTATAAATATTCAAACTGGGCCTAAGTTTCCTGACTAGCAGATCAAGTTCTTTCCACTATTATTAAGAGGAGAATATGGTAGGGAATTAGTAATGAGATAGCATAGAGAATGGTAAGTCAGCATTCAATGGAATAGTAACTGAGGCAAAGAACTAATGCTCAGTCACTGTGACTTCTTAGACATATCAATTCTTAGGTCTTTATGTGGACAATACTATCTCGTATTTGTTAGCCAATTCCATTCTCAGTGTCTTACGGAAATTCCATACAACTTAATGATTTCACATAAAAACATTATTTCCCCCCCCCATATAAATGTCGAAGCAAACCAAAAGCACAAGGACAGAATAAAGTAGAGGTAGGTAAATGCAGCTCAATGACTCAATAGTATAAATGGCTGATGAAATCTGATGACATTAATAGAATGCTTCTAGGACAAAGAGAGCACTTCTCCCCTCTATAAGCATCAACTAGTTCTGGTTACCGCACTCAAGGAAAATACAACAGCTCTCACCAAGAAGAAAACCACCAAGACAGTGAAGAGGGATCAATGCTACATCATATAATAAATGGCTGAAGAAAAACAGGAATTTGTTTAGTCTAAAATTTTTCTTAAAAATATGAAGGATGTGGGGTACAGGGAAGAGGAAGCAGTCTAATAGAAAAGGACTTGCTAACCTATTTTCCAAGAATAGAACTGGGATCACCTGGTAAAAGTTTTAGGAAGCTATAGTCTTGCTCACCATGGGAAATAATATTTTGGGAATCATCCCTAATTATAAATAGGTTACTTTAATAAACTCCAAAAGTGCTCAAGTAACACTCTACTACCATTTAGAAGAGGGGAGAAATATTACATAGGGGAGTTAAGTAATAGACTAAGGGCTAGGTAGGTAACACGTTTGGTGTAGACCTAGATCTCTAAGTTTTTTACCCAAGTTGAAATTCCATGTTTATAGAGAAGGACACAGACATAAAGAATAATTTCTCACCTTCCTTTCTAATAATAGTTCTCTCCAAATCTAGGACCTAGGACTCACCTGTGTTCCGGAGAAAAGTCTTTTTAAGTCCTTACAGGAAGACTGTGAAGCAAAAATATGAAATGGGAGGCTGGGGTTATGGCCTACTTGAATGAACATTCAGGTCTTTTTTTCAATAAGCTCGACTGCAAAGATCTATACTGCTCTTGGTTCCCTACAGCTAAATAGAGTAGCCACCTTCAAAGATTTACAGTGACTTTTTCCCTTTGGATCAAACCCAAAGGAAAAATCTCCTCAAAGAATAAGATAACATGCATAGTATAATCTCTGACCTTTAAGATGTACCTTCTGAATACATTATTATTTCAAAGTTATATACTCTAACTGAAACCCTAAAGATAGCTGATTTTGCAAATGTTTTAGTGATCTCTAAGCTCAACTAATATCTTAGGTAAGGTTATTAACTAATTTTTGATCACAGGTTTATTTATTTTTTCCAATTATAGGTTTAGAAAATTGTACAGTTATTATTTTTATATCTCAATTTTCCTTAACTGAGGTACATCAACTCTACACAGTCTTTCCCAAGCATTTCCACTTTATCCCACATACTTAAAGTACTTTCCCTGATCAATTCTTTTTCTTCTGTATCTGATGAAAAAGTCATTGTTTTTATGTCTATTCTTGTGTATATATGTTCCTATATATAAGGTGACTCTACAGATGCAGCATATTCCTTTACTGTGGAGTAAAATAAACTCTGAACTAGATGTGCCCTTATTTTCATAACTAATGAAAGGAAAGAGATATGGCTATAAACAACAGTTATGAAAGTAGATGCAGAACTTTATATACACATACCTGAACTGTCTGGACTTGTGGAGACTGAATAACTGATGGCTGGGCCGCCTGAATAACTCCATGGACTTGAACTGTCTGCCCATTGGGTAGCTGTACTAAAGTTACGGTGGGAGCAGATGATGTTGCATGAGCTGCTGGCATAGATACCTATGGTGTTGAACATAGAAAAAAATTACCATCACAGATACCTCCTTGGAGTACTCATGTTCAATATGAAATATCTTTTTAGAAGCAAAAAATACTTATATACTTTCTGTTAGATAAGTATTTCACCAATATGAAAGAAACTAATGATTTAATACGTTTTTTTTATTTTTTATTTTTTTTCAGTTGCAGGTGACAATGTTAAATACGTTTTTTTTAGAGACAGGGTATCACTCTGTCACTCAATGGAGTACAGTGGCAGGATCATAGCTCAGTGCAGCCTCAAACTTCTGGGCTCAAGCAGTCTTCCTGCCTCAGCCTCCCAACTAGCTGGGACTACAGGCATGTGCCACCATGCACAGCCAAAAAAATTTAATATTCTTTAAGAAAGTAAAAAAACAAAAACCAACAAACAAAAAAACCAACAAAAAAGCCCAAAACTATCCCCCCATTAACTCTTCCCAAATTACAAAAAACTATTTTAATGTTATATTAAAATATGTAACATAGACTTCTTCTGAACACTAAGTACCACTTTATTTGTATGGTGCTTTACATTTTTCTACCTGCTTTTATATCCGATTTCTCATTTTGTTCTTGAAGAAAACTGAAGACTGGGTAATAAAGAATATCTACATTTTAAAGACAAAAATAACAACTGCTCAAAGAAATTAAGTAATTTACCCAAGGTCAACAGATATGCTAGCCCCAAAGAAACATAAAAGTCTTGAGAATATCATGTGTTAAATGAGCCATGTTTTAAAATCTTATTGTTCTCAAACTTGAGCAAAACTGACCTGCTTAGTCTAGAACTAAGGAAATTTTAATGAATCGATATCCAGCTTAAAAGAGCCCTTAAGTCATACATGTCTATCAGATAGTATCATTGTTCCTATGCTTGAACACACTCAGAAGTAGGAATTCTATTTGCTCATTCAGTAAACAATTATAGGGGACCTATGTGTCAGGAACAACATTAGAACTGAAACTGCAAAATGGGTCTCTGACCTCAAGGAAATCACTGGGAGGTATGTGTGAAGGAATGGGGAAAGGAGACACAATTAAATACAATTCTGTGTAGTGATGAATTTGCTAAGAGAAAAATGGACATATTGAAAAAGCTACCCCACCCAACCTAAGAGAAGCTTCCAGGGAAAAATGTGAATTTAAAACAAAGAATATAAGTTAGACTTGTTATTATTATTTGCAAGGGAGAGGCACAGAATTTTAGGGAGCAAGGTTAACAACACCAGAAGCAAAATACCATACATGGCAAAGAGGGCTAACTAGCAGTTCAGCACTACTGGAGCACCTAAGTGTTTTATTGTATGATGTAGGAAGCACCAAGAGAGAAAATAATAGAGGTTGGCAGGGGCTAAATGAGCTAGTCATAAAAAAACATTGTTCATGTCACATTAAAGAACTGGCGGTGTGAAAGATAACATATTTCAGGTGGAGAAAAAGCTGGTGGTGGGGAGCCCAACAGGGAAAGCAGTAGTTAAGGTAGGAGATGATGAAGCCAAAAATAGGGCAGCAGCAGTAGTAGGGATGGGAATAAGAAGTGATTTTATGAAAATTTGGGAACAGATCAGGAAGAATAAAAAAATGACCCATGTTTCATATTTGAGAGAAAACTGGGAAACTATGTCATTAACTGAAACAGAAAACGCAAGATGGATAAGCTTTTGGGTTGTAATGGAGGATGATGAAATTGATTTGACATCTGAATTTGCAGAGATACTTAGCAGGCAGTTAAGTATTTGACTGTGAAGCCTGGGGGAAAGATCCCTACTGAAGACAGAGTGTTTGGCACATAGGTTAAAACTATGAGCTTCTACCTTTGGACAGTTAGGAAGTCCTTCCTCCTTAATTACTTCTCTTTGGCCACTGTAAGTCTTGCTTAGTTTTACATGGTTCTCAAAATGTGGTCCATAGACTACCTGCATTAGAATTACACAGGTTGCCCTGTTTGTAAAGTCAGAATCTAAGAAGAGCCCAACGATATTTTCCCCTACACTGAAGTTTGAGAACCACAAACTTAAGGTTATTCAGAGTATTTCATCTCAATTCCATATAAATGCTTTTCTAATATTTGAAGCAATTATTATGTCCTCTTCCCTGAGCCTTCTCTAGGGTAATTATAACAAGCTAACTCAATGAAAAACTCCTTTCTTACCTTTATCATTCTATAACAACTGCTTGCATTATGAGTTTATAAAATACAGATACACAAAAATAAAATAAAAATCCTGTATATTCTTATAAACCAGAGCCAATCAGTGTTAATATTTTTGCTATAGATCTCCTAGATGTTTTTTTAAGGCACATGCATACACTGAATTTTTATAACACACTATTGTGGAATCTATTTTATCTTTCAAATCTGTCATACATATATTTCCATACCATTAAGTAGTCTTTTGTAGTTTTAATGGCTGAACAGAAAATTACATAATTTGTTTAATAAATTCCTTTCTGTTGGATATTTAGGTTTTCAAATTTGCCTGCCATATATAAGAAAGCTACAATGGTCATCCTTTTGCTTTTTACTTAAACTATAAAAATTTACATTCTCATTCCCAGTTTTTTGAGTTTAAAAAAATATCTGTAAATTCTAAACATAAAATCAGGCATGCTTTTTTTTTTTTTTTTGAGACAAGATCGCCCCTCTGTCTAGAGTGCCAGTGGCATCATCATAGCTCACTGCAACCTCAAACTCCTGGGCTCAAGTGATGTTTCTGCCTCAGCCTCCCGAGTAGCTGGACTACAGGCATGCACCACCACACGTCTGGCCAATTTTTCTATTTTTTGTAGGGATGGCCTCTCACTGTGTTGCCCAGGCTGGTCTCAAACTCCTGGCCTCCCACAGTGCTAGGATTACAGATGTGACCCACCATGCCTGGCCTCATTATTGTTTGAGATTGACTTTCTCCCTATACTACTTAGGCTGAATTTGTTTTCTTCTGTTCTCTGACCAAATCGCAATCATCTTGGATTTGTCTGACAATTTTATTATATTTTCCTGGCATTTAAAGATTGACATTAAAAAGTAACAAGAATCAGAATTATGAGAAGAAATGTCAAAAATGTATGATGATATATGTATTAAGGAACTTGGATGAGCAAGTGAAAAAAACTCTGCAACTGAGAATAAAAAGAACTAAAAACATAATGGGAACAGATACTAAAACTCAAGTCTGATGTCACTCTACTTTTAAGTCTTCAGTGCTAGAGGGCTGCCTGATAAAGATGATAAACTGAACATGTACATATAATTTTGCTTCCTCCTGAGTCCTCAATTATACTTCACAAAATTGATTTTGTTTTTATAGGCATAATGACACCAGCATAGGAGAATGGGAAAGGAGACAATAGTAATGGAGTTTTGGAAGCTGGAGAGCAGGTGGATGAATGGTAATGAACTGGGAAGAGTTGGCTCAGCAGGTCAACTCATGATTTAGAAGCAGGCAAAGCCTGATTTGTACCACAAGATCTTCAAGAGGATCAGGATCTGTGGAACTCTAGAAGGTGGAGTGAAAAGAGAGACTGAAAATAAGGAAGGCTGTGAGAAGGCTTTTTCAGAAGCTATTGTATCCCCTCTCCTACTCTCTGTGGAAGAACAACTAATATACTCCACCCTCACACAAAATGGAGATTTATTCTCTGGACAGATGGTCTCTTGAATTTAAACACCAGGCATTGCTAAAGGTGGCTACTAGAACCCAGCCCTCTTACTTGGCTCCCAGGTCTCTTCTCTATGAGCAGGGTAATTTAGTGAAGCCTTCTTTGGGGAACCTGACCAATGCCCAGAGGAAAGACCTAAAAGATACTGACATTAGGACTACCACAATCACCCTAAAGTGAAGCTCACAGCTCACACAGCTATTAGGCACCAAACATCCAAAGAGCTTCCAATATAGCTTTTTGGTGCCCTATTTTTAAACCTGAGCACACAACTACAAAATATCAAACATTTGAGAAAATGAAAGATAGGGATCAAAACAAATGTGTGTGGGAGGCTATTGGAATATCTACATGGGGAGAAGAAAACTTGAAACAAACAAAAAAAACCTAATTAATATACTCAGAGATAAAATACTGCCTTTGCGAAACATAAATAAGATGCCATTAAAAAAAAAAAGAAAAAAATAACTATTCAGAGGAAAAAATAATTCTTGGAAATAGGATAACAGAAATAAAAAATTCAACAGATGGGTTGGAATGTGCTTAAGAAATCTCCCAGAAAGCAGAGCAAAAAAAGATGTAAAATGGGAGAAAAAAAAGATGAGAAAATTAGAGAAACAGTCCTAAAAGTATACTATCTGGATCACAAGGATTCTAGGGAAATTACAAAGAATAAATGAAAAAAATCACCAACCAAATACTTTAAAGAAATTGCCCAGAATCAAAGACTTGAGTTTCTACTACAAAAGGGCCCAATGTGTGTGTGTGTGTATATATATATATATATATATATATACATATATATATATCACAGTGGATAAAAATTGATCTGAACCAAAGACCATGATGACAAAATTCTGAAGCACCATGAACAAAGATTTTACAAGATACCAGAGATACAAAATAAGAAATGAATTTAGTCTTTCCAAACAACACTAGAAAAAGCTAACTGTGGATCAAATCTTTAAAAATTCCCAAAAAAACTCTTTACCAAGTCAAACCTTCTTTCTCAAGAAACCATAGGAAACCATGCTCTACACTACACCAAGAACACAAACCCCACAAGAAAAAGACAGCAGGATGAAAGGAATTCCCAGGGTGACACTATACAGTAGGCTTAGAGGACAACCAGATGAGACAAAATGGTATGACCCAAAAGACAGATATGCTAGGGACAGTCACCATCAAGATGCATGCTGGCCTTGTATCTTCTTTTTACCAGAGGGCAAAATGCTTGGATGAGCTCTGATTCTCACCTGGGGTTGCTTGCCTTGACCCTATACCAATGAAGGTCCTTGCTCCCTTCCCTTCTTTCCTACAGCCTGCCTCATCTGAGTACATTAAGTGTATGTGGCTTTGTCTTACTCCTAAGGGCTGGAAATCCAGTATCTGACCTACACTTTAGCTCAGTCAGACACCCTAACTGTGGTGAGCCCTCTATTTCCCGTGATTCATTCTTGCTCAGTGACTTCCCTAGGAACTTTTAAACTCTTGGGGAAACTAAAGCTAGACATATCAGAGCCTCTGCTAAGATTACTTTCTTCTGGGAACCTTTATCTGAAAGAGGCAATATCATATTCTTACCTAGCAGGTTTATATTTGTGATTTGGTTTTTATGTTAACCACTTTTCTCACCCATATCTACGTAAATAGTTGTTAATAAAATATTTGAGAAAAAATATGTGAGAACAAAAAAACAAGAATGAGAGACTATCCTAAAGATAGGATGTTTAAGACAAAGATGAAAGGAAAGAATCAGGAACTGTATTTAAAATATACAGGAAACAAAAAAACTACTAACAACCTTAAAATTTACTTATATGTAAATTTATCTGCTTACCCTATTTTTTAGTTTAAGCATATATAAACTCATGCTTTCATATCATCTGCACCCATATGCCCAAAAATAAATCTGTGTGATATTAAAAAAAAGCAATTGTCATAGCCAAGATTTTCTTTCCTGCAGAGAGCCAATTTACTCATCAGTTAAAAATGTAATTATTTATGGATCGTGTCCTTACAAATACTGTATTAATGTTTAACAATATATTTTACTATTTGTTACTGAATTAATACTATCATTTCTAAACATATGCTTATACTAAGTAAATAGGAATTTTGATATTCTAAGAACATCTCTGGTCATTCTATGTATATCTCTGGAATAAAACTAAATTCTCTTGGAAACACATTCCTCTTGGAAGAGACACAACTTGGAATCTCTCCATATGATTTATACCTGGGCTAATGTGGCAATCTGTGGCTGGGCTTGAACTGTCATTTGTTGGTTTTCAGCTTCTGTTACAGCTGCATCTCCACTCTGCTGGTTCTCTGCTCCAGATTCCATGGTCATTTAGTTACCTATAATAATATGGAAGAATGTTACAAGCACTACAGTGCTTTGTGCTTTTATGACTTTAAAGGTAAATTTCAAGTTATAAATAGGTATATGTGCTAGTTAGGTTAGCAAATGCACTCAGAAATTTAGTTAAAATATAATGTAGCTGAATTATAGTCAAACTTGTCCAAATTTGCTGAGCTGTAAAAATTCTAGACCCTTCAGAAAAGAAAAATCTTTCTTCTCTCTTGGGTGTTTCTTTCCAATTGGGATATTACCCCATCTAGAAATAATTAGGGATTCCTTTCTTTCATGAATCTCCCCTACTAACAAAGAGAAGAGGGATGACAGCAAAATTATAATCTTCCCAAACTGTACCAATCAGGTACAGAGAGAGGGTAGAGAGTAGAAGGGAACTAACAATAGAGTCTATGAGATACTGGCTTCATGGTATCTCCTATATGTGTATTTCTCCCATAACAGAGAAGATGCAGAGAAATTGCAAGCTACTTTCACAAAAGATTACTGGTGGTAGGACAAAATCAGATCAAGTTTCAACAGCCTAAATTGTGGGACATTAATATATAATATAAAGGTAGAATAAATGGACAAAGAGCCAAATTGGAGGCCCCAAACACTAAAAAAAGTTAGAGTGTTCTGACTCCTCACCCCACGTATAGCATGCAACACTACACTACACACATACCTACATACACAGAGAAATAAACTACCTTTAAAAGTTTTAATTGTAAAATTCTGGGTAATTAAGATTTCTTTTGTCACTTTTTAGAGCCTGCTTTGCTAAGAGCTTAGTATATTTGTTGGGTAATCTGGCAGTGGATGGTAGCAGAAGCAAGGGGAGAGCAATTCCTAGTTGCAATGGCTACTGTACATGGAGGTCAGAGGAATTTCTGGTAACTGGGGAAGCAATCCTGTCTAAAGGATTCAGGAAAACAGGCAATATTTCTAATACTTGTTATAATTCAGTGCCTAGCACATTACCTGTTGAAAATGAATTTATTAAAAGTGTGGGACTACCTAGAGTGATTCCACAAATAACACAAAAACCCCACTGCTTTTCCAGAATATATTTCATTTATTTTATAACTCTGAAATTGATAATCAAAACTGTCACGGATCCTTATGTGATCATTATACACCATCACAATGTATTATATACTAATATATCTTGCTATCATTCATAGGGTGCTATAAAAAGAAAGTGTTTTACAAGTGACTGTTAAAAATGGAAATGAAAATATCTGTGGAAATGAATATAGTTTAGAAATACCAGAATCCAAAAAACACAGATGACAAGGAAAAGATTAACAGATTTGACAATATTATTATTTAAAACATTCACTATTCCTAGGATTGAGTTTGCAAAAAAACAAAGAAAACATTCATAAAGCCCCCAAGGTAAGTGCACGGGGAGAAAGTATCTGTCATATATAATCAACACAGTAATATCCAACATACAAAACAACTACTAGTCAATATGAAACTATTATTGACTAGTTCAGAAAGATAAACTTCAAAGGTATTCACTTTAGTTTTTTTTTTTAATAGCAAAAAACTGAAAACAAGTATCCATCATTAAGAGAACCATTAAAAATAGTCTATAATGTAATGACATACTGTAAAACAGAATCCCATTTATGTTACAAAAATAAGTAAAACAAATTGTTGTAAAGGTGTATGCACGGAAGAGATGTGGGAAGTTAAACACTAAATTGTAAGTGGTAGCTGTGAAGAGAGCACTAGGATTTGGTAGAACTACAGAATGATGACTTTCACCTTTTACTCTTTACATACTTTACTATTTTAGTATTGATTCAGGTTTTTTCTTCCTGTGAGCATGGATACAGGATTATTTGTACAATTAACAAAATTTTTAATATCAGAAATCATTTATAACATTTTAAAACTATACTTCAATCCTGATTTTGAGATACTCTACAAAAAATTTTTCAAATTCCAAATTTTTTTAACATGAATAGTAAATACTTTATTGTGTTCACAACATTTTTTACCCATCCTCTGCTCCCCCTCCCTTTTTACATGAAATGACTGTTTATGTTTAAATTTTGCCTAAATTGTTTACTCTACATTTCTAAATAATAAAAATGAATGGCTTTTAAAAATTCTCAAATAACTTTAGTTATTATCACTTGTAATAATTCACTGAGTTGTATACTTACAATCTATGCTCTTTTAAACTAAAGAATTTAAGACATCAAATGTAACAGAAAATAACAACAACAACAACAAAACAGTTTACCTATCCTAAAAGTTACCCTACTTTTGGTGTGGAAGAAAATGGTATGCAAAAAACAAAAAAACCTCATCTCAATAACAATAAATGAATAAATTCATTCAGGATGGTACAGAGTCAAACTAAATAAGAGTAAACATAAATAAATTTTTCTCCTTTTTCTCCCCTAAGTCATCATTTTCAACTAGGATGAAGACAAACAAATTCAAATGTATACCTCTGTAGACAAAACATACACACCATTTTAAAAAGACTTTATTCCAAGCCACATTTTTTAAGCTATGCTGTCATTTGATATTTGTAGTTTCACTCTACTATCTGATTAAATGCAATCTGAAGCACAGATCAGTCACATTTCTTTTGTTTTTGTTTACTCTACAACAAATTGAGACTAATTATTTTTTGATGTTTAAGGTACAGGGCATCATTACAACTTTTTGTTTTGGAAAATAAAATATTTATTACACTATATTCCAATAAAGGAACAAAACCATTACTGATATAAGTTAATTATAGCTGCAAGGACACAGTCAAAATGATCTTCATCCTTCTTCCCTCCACAACTGGATAATATTTCTTTTCTTAAAAAACCAAGGTATGATATTTCCAATGGATAGGAGTGCTCATTTAAACTGCTAATGTTTTATTATTATTTCATTCAGGTGGCCTACCAATCCTTTTTCAGTGTAGGGCACAGCCTTCTTAATTTTTCTAACTCTTAGCTTTAAGTAGATACCAACCTCTTGGGCAACAGAACAAATATAGTCTTTCATCAGAAAACTTAGGCCTTTTCTCAAAGTGCTGTTAAGAATTATTTAAGGAAGACCAACTTTTTCAGGATGAGAAACTCAGTAACTCAACTAAAACAGACACTGTTATTTTTTCACCTTGAGGGTACTGAAATAGCAATCTCCCAACTGGACTAAACTATTAATAGCATTTAAAGTGGGTGCAATTATTTTGACTTTGAAAGCTTTTGCTGAAGAGATGGCATAGTATCATGTGTAGGATCTTGAATTTTTCTATTAATCTGGATACTGGATTCTATTAATCCAGTATCAGTCTAGCCAGCAGTGCTGTATCCAGACACAGGATTAGATATTAGGGGAAATTTATGTGGGTTCCTAAAATTGTTTGAAGAAAGGAGATTCCTAATTCACTAAACATATACAAAACTATAAAAAACCCAAAATTGAATAATGCTAAAAAATAAAAAGACTAGGTACATATGAACTCAGAATGCTGCAGGAATATTGGGCCTGAAATATTACAAACAGAACGGATCTTAGAAATCACTTAAAATATATTAATTATTTAAAAATACTATTGGCTTGACAGCACTATAATTCTTGTTCTTCCAATAATTATGAATTTTAAAATTTATCTGAGATTAATGTTTAAAAGTTGAATTATCATAATTTATCCTTAAAATTACCATAAGACTAATCCTTTGGAAACTATGAACTTACAATAAATTTCAAAAGTGTCATGCCTAAAAGAAACAAATTTTTTTTTAATTTTTTTTTATTTTGGCATATTATGGGGGTACAGATTTTAAGGTTTCAATAAATGCCCATTTCCCCCCCTCCCCCCAAAAGTCTGAGTCTCCATCATGACCATCCCCCAGATGGTGCACATCTCACTCAAAGAAACAAATTTTTAACCAATTCACAAAGATATATACCATTTTGCTATTATAATGGTCTCCAGAATTCTACCTCCTAATATGAAAAATAAAAAGCAAAGTGATTCTGTAATATTATTCATCCAATCTTACAAAAAACAAAAAAATGCTGCTATAAGTAGGTGGGAAACAGAGCCTAACACTTGGTGGAAAGCTGGATTTGTCAAGAAGTGACACTGTTACCAAATGGTTATTGGACAAATTAAACTTTCTCTGTTTCAGTTTCTCATTTCTCATTTGTAAAAACAAGATGAATTAAAAGATCTCTTCCAATTTTAAATCCTCTGATCCTAGGAACTGAAGCCATAAAAAGATGTATGTGCACACACACACACACACAATTATACAGGCCACATAATAAAATAGTATTTTTGGTAAAGGAAGTATTTCCTTTTGCTATATACTGATTCACATAGCAAAGACAGATTGAATAAGAATAGGTCACCTACCCTCTTTATCTTGGGCAAATACAGAGATATTATTATTTGTTTTATAATCATAAGAATGCAATACAACTTAAGATTATTAGCAGTGCCTTAAAAAAAATTGCTATATGACCAGACTATTATCCAATGAAGAATCTCTTTCCTGTGGTGGACACTCTTACTCATTATATTGCTCTGATCTTAACTGTTAATGTTATTAAATAGTTTAATAGTCCCTTTGCTTAATTTTCAAAGTAAAGCTGTTTTTCCTTTCTATCTTAGCTTCAAGAAATTTATCTAAGTTTCCAAATAATAAAGGGCTGCATCACTTTTATACCCTTTCCATAATTTTAATACTAGATATTAAAGTTTAAACATCCCAGCAAGTGTCTAATGAGTGCTTCCATGACATTTAAAAGAAAAGAATACATTCTGCAACAGTCAGGGGAGTGTTGGAATTCCAAAGAGGCATTAAGGATGAATATAACAGTATTGATAAATTTGGGGAAGAAGACCTTTTCTGATAAGAAAAACAGTATGAGCAAAGGCTTGAACTATGGGCCTTTAGACAAATGAGTGAGTCAGTGGCTGGTATCAGACTTTGTACATAAAGCAAGGAAAAAAGACAAATAACTCCTG